AATTAATATAGATAATATTATGCTAGCGGATATATTAATATATTATATATTATATATTAATATATAATTATATAATTATATATAATTATATATATTAATAAACCATATATAAAAATATATTAAATCATTAGGCTTAAGTTTGTTAAACAATAATAATATGTTAAACTAATAATAATATAAGAGTCAGTAAATATGATAGAAAAATATGAAAAGTAGACTAGATATTGGAAAAAATCATCATATGCTATTTCTATTAATAATGTATTGCATATATGGAAAATGATTATACATGTATCTATATTATTTCTATATATAATATTATTTCCGTATTGTTATAACATTATTAACATAGTTATATATTATATTATCTAATAAGAAATAATCTCTAATCCGAAAATTTAAAAAATTATGAAATTTTGAAAATATAATATTATATAAATATCTATTATGCAATTTTTTGACTATTTAAAATTTGTATTCCTTGAGGTGGTGAAATCAATCTTTTCTTAAGGTTATGAAATCAATCTTTGAAAACTAAGTTATTTTTTGATTTCATATTATAACTCACATATTATAAGAAATATAGAAAAAGTTTTCAAATTTAAAATTTTGTTATATTTTCAATATAACAAAAGTTTTTGTTTCTTTTCATAAGTTATTTTTTTATTATCATTTGATAAATTATTTAATAATTGTCTATATTAAAAAAAGTTATAAACAAAAAAATTAATATCTTAAAATCTTTTTAAATTTGTTTTTTAATGTAAAATTTTAATCAGTAATTTAAATAATTATATGATGATATAAAAAAACAAAATAAGTACTTTTGTTTTTAATAAATACAGCTTTGTTATGATATTGACTTTCATTGCTAAATTTTTAAAAATAAAGAAATTTATATACTTCTATTTTTTATTAAATAATGGATCAACGAAAATTATTAGATAGGAATAGAGAGAAAAAAAAATTTATATAATTATTTCATAAGATCTTTTTATTTTTAATATAATCGTCAAACTTTTTCATTTTTTTATGTATCAGATAATAATGAATTCAATATAGAATAAATGAATAACGATGAATGTAAAACAAATAACATGAATAATATTATAAATTACTTTTTATGATGATGAAATTTAAAAAAAAAAATGTATAGATAAAAATTTACACAGTACACATCATATAATAGTATGATTGTCGCATATGGTATAATGAGGCGGTCATATGTACGTACTAACTTCCTACAGAATATATAATTCTAAAAATATTGAAATCTGTAATGAAAAAGAAAATTTTTGCAAAGGAAAATGTTGCTCGAAATTACTTCAGGAATTTTTAGTTAATGAATGTTTTCATTTATGGAATATCTCATATATTTTTTATATTGAATTATTCAATAACTTATTAGAGATATACAAATATAAATTAATTATAAATTAAATTAGAATTAATTTTTTATTTCACAAGAAAGAATTTAATTAAATTAAAAAGCTTTTTATTGAATAAAACGTTAAACTCGCTTTAATATTTTTTTAATAAATAATCTTTATATAAATAATCTTTAAATAATAATCTTTTAATCTTTTCTAAATTTTTAATAAAAAATCTTTCTTACAACAATAATTAATATATCTTTATATCTTTTTTCTTAAATAAACAATAAATTTTAAAAATTATGAATTTTGTACTCAATGGCCATAGATTCTGTCAATCAAAGTATTTATTTATTTAATAGATTTTTTCATAAAATATGTCAATTTTATTGTATTCTATTCTTCGTAGAGAAAAGCAGATCTAAGTTATTAAAAACTTTTATACAAAGGGAAAAAAATTTCTAGATTTTACAATATATAAAAGAATAGTTATTAAAATAATCATAATTCAAAGTCAAAGTTTATTTAAATAGAAATTCAAATATTAAATAAATATTATTTAATTATTTAATGTTAAAATATAAATGAAAAAAAATTGAAAAAAATTAAATTTAATTTTCCTACTAGATTACAAATGAATTGATCAATGTTGGTGACCGTTCAATAAGTACAATTATAGATATCATTGATTCAATGATATATTGTCTTTGTATGTATGATTTTGCTTGATTAATCAGTTTAGTTACGTATCTATCAAAAATCTTAATATCTTAAATATTTTTCTATTTTAAATGCATTAAATGGCATTTTCAATGCTAAGCAAGAATATTTAGAAAAAAATATCAAAAACTTAATGATACATTTCAAAACTCAATTTTATTATTGATTAATTTTATCTACTATTTTTTATTTATTTAGTTAATGAATTGTTTTTTAATATATTAATATATAAATAGACTTTAATTTATTGTTTTTATTTTTTTATTCCAAATATGTATTATTTATTGTTCATTTGTTAGAAACGATTTATATTTGTTTTTTTATATCACATTATTTATTTTGAATGATAAATAAATTCAATTTATTTATTCTATACAAGTAATTAAAAATTGTTTATTCGTTGTTCGAGATTAAGATATAATTTGATATAATTTTTTTTGATAAAATATATTTGTTATATTCAATATATTTTTTTCAATACATGTTGCTTGTTGTTTGTTTATTTGATTTTGACCATAGTAGCTCGACTAGTCTATGCGCTTTATAATAATCAGTTTTTTGTTAATATCTAATTAACAAAACTGTAATAAAAATTTTGCAAAAAAAAAAAATATTGCTTGAAATTATTTCAGAAATCACTAATTTATTGATACTTTCTCATTTTTTAGACACTGTATATTTTCCTATAGAGAGTTGGCTATGCTAGAACAATTGTTTATAAATGCAGTAATAATCTAAGTGTTTAAAGCATCTCTATAGATTTAGATTTTTATTGTTTAGATTATTATTGTTATTATGTCCAAATATTTTGTCCATTATACAAAAAAACCGTGATTAATTTTAATGAATTCAAATAAATATTGTCATAAATTGAGAAATTAATTATTTTATTTAATTTATTATTATTATACTAATACAAATATTATTCTTCGTATTTTCATTGATTAAAAAATCCTTATTGTATAGATAATATCATCATAAAATAAGATAATGACATTTTTAATAACTAAAAAATAAATGTCGATAAAATATATATTATTAAGACAATAAGTATTAGCTATAAAATAATTGTAAAAATACCGATGCAAAACCTTCCACTGTTGGATAGTAAACATTGAAGAAAGTAAATAAGAGTGGTTTATTGCAATTTAACATAATGTTTAAAATCAATTTTTGGATGGAAACAGGCATTTTATACCAATTCGTGTGAAATCTGAAAATGATCATAATCATAAAAAGAATCTCATTAATATTTAGTATTTATTTTTAATAGATACATATGTTTGATGCAGATAAACGATTTGCGATGGTTTGTTAAGTTTTTTTAATTTTGCATTAATTTGATAACAAAATAAACATAAATATTAATAAAGTAATGAAATATAGAATTCAGAAAAATAAAATGAATACAATATTATTTAAAAAAAATTATGAGTAAAGAAATAACAAAAACTGATTTGCTAGAAAAATTTAATATATAAATAATAATAAGAAATTATCGTCTGTAATATTTCTGTAAATCGTTCGTCTACATCGATTTTTATATATTTGTTATCAATATAGAGAATACTTATATTAAGTTTCAAAAATTTTAAAGACTGATAGAAATAGATAATTAAATGAAAATCATTTATTAAATGAGAAATATATATTTATGTATTTATTATTGCATAAGATTTGCTCTTTCAATTTAAAAATCTGCATTTCAGTATGAATCGGCAAAAACGAAATCAGATTATATAATATTGATGTACAATATTACAATAAATTTTGCTGAAATTTTACGATTTTCTTCGTATCCATATATAACTTTATTGCAATTTATTGTAAAAAAGATTTTTTTTTAATATTTCAAAATTATTAATAAAATATTGTGTGCTTACATAGTTATGTTAAGATTATTAGAACAATCCAATACTTGTTGACACATATAATTCATATAGTACATATATGACAATTCACAAATAATACACATAAAACTAATAATTGTTTCTTCGATTTTAGTTAACACAAGAATGGATTGTGATAACTGAAAAATAAATAAAAATATTTTGGATTTTTCTATTTTTTGTTTCGAAATATCTTCAGCATTATTTAATATTTTTTGTAATTTTTATTGCAATTAAAGAATATAGAAGAATTTTACTTACACAAAACAAATTAATGCCCAAGGATATGATAGCGAATATAAGGAGAATGCAATATGTTATTGCATTATAATCACGAGTATCTTGTAAAAATCTTTAAAAACAACATTAATTAATATTGATTTATTGATATTTCATTAAATATATTATACGTAATATATTTAATATAATACACATAAAACGAAAAATAATACTGACTGTATTACTCTTCTATGTGTAATTGCAGCTTTTATTATATACTTTTTTATATTATTATCAAAATGATCTTTAGAACTCTTTAAAGTAGCATTTTGTACAAAAAAACTGTAAATCCGTAAAAGAAAATGAAAAGATATTAGAAATATTATTTATCATTAATATATATTCTTATATAATAATATAAAAGATGTGTAATATTCTATAAGTAGCATTGAAAATTCAATGTTTATTTCTTATTATATTCTATGTTCTAATAAAATGTATATTCTGTAATAGAATGATTTTAAAAAGTTGATATATCGACGATATTTATTATTAAATTGTTTAGAAGTGTTTGAATTATAGATTTATTAGAGATCGTTTTTAGTTTGATACAGAGAATTTTTGAAAGTTTTCTAAAGTTAAATTGCAGAGTTGTATTACATAAAGATTTTCTCAGTTTTTTGCTATGATTTTTAGGATAGCTAGATAGGAGAAGATATCTTAATTTTTAACTTATGATATGATATTTCCTAGATTTTTGTATCAAAAATTAGTTAAAAAAATTTGATTATGTTCACTTGCTTAATTTTGATATTATCTATAGATGATATAATTCTATATTATTTTATCTGGAAAAGACAATATTTTTTTTAAGATAATTTTTTTTTTAATTTCTTTTGAAAGAATTTAAATTCTAAAAAAATTTATTACCCGTTATAATTCATTTAATACAAATTTCAAAGTCTTCTATAGTTTATAGATTTTTTCTTTTATAGTGGTCAGATGATCAGTAAAGAAATAGATTTTAAGTAATCAGGTTATTAGTAATATGATTTCAATAAAATAATAAGATTTAGAATCCTAACACGTTCTTAACAAGTTCAGTATTTGAATTAACAATGAATAGTTCATATTCTTATATGTCTAATCTTTATAAAATTCTTTATAAAACTTAATATGTTATTTTAAAGATCGAATCTCATAACAATAGATAACAATTGTCTGCATATTATGTCGCATATTTTTTTTAAGTCTAAGATTATGATTATAATGTAAAAACAAAATCACATATATTGCCTTTATTAATCGATCTGGAAATAATCTGAAATGAAGATATCTGAAACCATTTGATAAAAAGATAGTAATTTATTTATATTATAAATCTAATGAAGTCATGATTTCAATTAAAAATATGATTCAAAATATATGGTTAATAATTTTTTTCATTATATGATATTTATTAAAGATACAAATTGATAATTTTCTTAAATTGTTTGATTTTTATTAGGATTGGTGATCAGAACAATCATAAACATTCCTTTATAATTATTCCTTTATAATTATAATCATGAAAATAATTTTATGGTGAAAATGAATTCTCATTTTTCTTAATAGTTAATTTAGTTTCTTAATTTAATTGTAAAATTTTAACAAATATTATTATTCTTTAATAAGAAGATTTATAAATGGAATCTTAATAGAATCTATTAAAATTCCATTTCGGATTAATATTTTTGAATTGTTTGAACGTTATTTTTGATTATTATTAGTTTTGATTATTAGTTTTGATTATTATTTCTCTTTGATTCTCAGTAATCTCAGATCAGAATAAGAATTATTAAGATAAAAACTATAATTAAACTGTAATTAAAATAGAAATAAAGATTTATCGACTGATTCATTGATATGTTTACTAATCGGAATTCAAGTTATTTGTTGGAATTTAATTATTAGTGATTTTTTTAACATCAATAATTAAAAAAAACAAGTATATAAAAAAACATTCAAATAATTCAAAATTTTATGTGATGTGTTGTGATTTGCTTTTATGGATTTCAGTAAGGTAGATTGAACATCATACAATATTTAATCAAATAGATTCAAATAAAATGTTTTACAAAATATGCTAAATATCCTAGAATTTGTTCGAAATGATTTTTTACTAAAAAATAGATTATGTAATAATACATTATTGCATACAATATTATATTATATTAAATTAAAATTTCAAAATAGTTGATGCATTTAATAGTGGATCATCTGACTTTATCTAACATTATTTAAAGTTATTAAACTTAAAATACTTAAAAAATATTCATTAGTATTTTGTCGGATATATATTTATGAATTTTATTTGTCGTTTTAATATTTAAAATCCACTCTCAAAAAGTATTCCACATATTTATAAATATCCTTTGTACATATATGCAGGATGATAAGAAATAATCGCATAGTAATATATATGTATATGAACACATATTTATTGTATATATATATATATATAATGACATTAAAAATTTTTTATGAATATTTCGAAAATTAAAAATAATAGTTTTTTACATATTCAAGAAAAAATTATTTAAAATATTATTTTTTAACAAATTTTGTCTTGACGATTAGAATTTATTTATTATTATGTATATAAATATTTCTTATATT